TTCAGAGAAAGCGTTCCCAGTTACTACAAGGTGATTCTGTTCAGGTTTCTGAAAATGAAAATAGTGTAATGAATCATAAAGGAAATGGCTCCACTTACACTGTAAATCAAGAGTGGTCAATTTTGAGAACCCGGGACTCTTGTGGGAATACATACCTGCGTGAGTCACAGAATCAGAGTAGAGGTCAGCAAGTTAACGTGAAAAATAACCGGGATATATGTGAGGCCTTCATGCAGAAATCACCGCTTACCAATCATATTAACACTGACACAGAACAGAAACCTTACAGATTCAACAAATGTGGCAAAAGCATGAGTGATGGCTTCAATCATCATGTACCCCCAGGAGAGGAATTCCATCCATGTCATGAGTGCGGAAAGGGTCTCAGTTATAGCTCGGTGCTTCCACATCATCAGAATGTTCACACAAGAGAGAAATGCTCTAGTCACAGCTCACATCTGCGGACCCGTCAGAGAATTCGCCCAAGAGAGAAACTCAATAAATGTCATGGATCTGGTGATTGCTTTAATAAGAAGAGCTCTTTCCATCCACTTACCCACACAGGGGAGAAGGCCTATAGATGTGATAGTTGTGGCAAGGGGTTCAGTAGCAGCACAGGCCTTATCATTCATTACAGGACTCACACTGGAGAGAAACCTTATAAATGTGAGGAGTGCGGGAAATGCTTTAGTCAAAGTTCGAACTTTCAGTGCCACCAGAGAGTCCACACTGAAGAGAAACCGTATAAATGTGAAGAGTGTGGTAAGGGCTTCGGTTGGAGTGTTAATCTTCGTGTTCATCAGAGAGTCCACAGGGGTGAGAAACCCTATAAATGTGAGGAGTGTGGGAAAGGCTTCACTCAGGCCGCACACTATCACATACATCAGAGGGTCCACACTGGGGAGAAACCTTATAAATGTGATGTCTGCGGTAAGGGCTTCAGTCACAATTCGCCGTTAATATGCCATCGGAGAGTCCACACTGGAGAGAAACCGTACAAATGTGAGGCGTGTGGGAAAGGCTTTACCCGCAATACAGATCTTCACATCCATTTCCGAGTTCACACGGGAGAGAAACCCTACAAGTGTAAGGAGTGTGGGAAGGGCTTCAGTCAGGCTTCTAATCTTCAGGTCCATCAGAATGTCCACACTGGGGAGAAACGATTCAAATGTGAAACGTGTGGGAAGGGCTTCAGTCAGTCATCCAAGCTTCAAACCCATCAGAGAGTCCACACAGGAGAGAAGCCGTACAAATGTGATGTGTGTGGGAAGGACTTCAGTTACAGTTCCAATCTTAAACTGCACCAAGTGATTCACACTGGAGAAAAACCATATAAATGTGAGGAATGCGGGAAGGGCTTCAGTTGGCGATCAAATCTTCACGCCCATCAGAGAGTCCACTCTGGAGAGAAACCCTATAAATGTGAGGAGTGTGATAAGAGCTTCAGTCAGGCTATAGATTTTCGGGTACACCAGAGAGTCCACACTGGAGAGAAACCATACAAATGTGGTGTTTGTGGTAAGGGCTTCAGTCAGTCCTCTGGTCTTCAATCCCATCAGAGAGTCCACACTGGGGAGAAGCCATACAAATGTGATGTCTGTGGAAAGGGTTTTAGGTACAGCTCGCAGTTTATATACCATCAGAGAGGCCACACTGGAGAAAAACCTTATAAATGTGAGGAATGTGGGAAAGGCTTCGGAAGGAGCTTGAACCTTCGCCATCATCAGAGGGTCCACACAGGAGAGAAACCCCATAGATGTGAGGAGTGTGGTAAGGCCTTCAGTCTCCCCTCAAATCTTAGGGTCCATTTGAGTGTTCACATTAGGGAAAAACTGTTTAAATGTGAAGAGTGTGGGAAGGGCTTCAGTCAGAGTTCACGTCTTCAAGCCCATCAGAGAGTCCACACTGGAGAAAAACCGTACAAATGTGATGTATGTGGTAAGGACTTCAGTCACCGTTCACGTCTCACATACCATCAGAAAGTCCACACTGGCAGGAATCGTTAAAAGTGAAGAATGTGTTAATGGCTTCGGTCAGGATGTACATCATCACGTGTTTGGAGAGTCCGGGCTGGTAATAAACTATCAAGCATTGAGAAGAAAGGGTTTTCTTCAGATAGAATCTTTCTAACAAATCCATTAAAATAATGGCATGGAACCATAATAACAGGGATAGAACTAATATTCAGGGGAGGAATGGCTTGTGACCCTCTTGGCAAGATCCATGTGATATAAATGGTCTTTAAGAGTGAATATATGCCTAAAGATAATGCATGGAAAGGATATTTGCCATATACTAGCTAGTTTTTTGGGGGTCAGGGAAGTTTTTGGATAATTTTCCCTTTAACTTACATTTTATACTTACTTACAGTGACTATTATTTTTACTGAAGCTGTAAAGCTATGAAAAATGAATAAAATTACTAAAATTTCCTGTAACCAAGAACTCATAATATGATTGCTTTATTTCATATGGTATATTGGATTAAAATTAAATAGATCCCCATTGATGAATCTTGGATCTTCAGAAGTAAATTGGTATCTGCTGCAGATGTATATAAAAGAATGGTCATTGTGTCATTGTTCATAATAGCAAACATAAACAATCAAATGGATTGCCAAGGTATTTTATGATTTATTAATCCAGTGGAACACTATGCAAACATCAAATGGGAAAAGGTAAGTTTGTAGTTAAGGATGTTGGAAGATGTCCAGAATATATTAACCTGAAAAAACAAAGCATGGGATTTTTGTGTTACTAATATATATATATACACACACTAATATATAATGTATATATATAAATATATATATTTACATTTCTTTAAACTTACTGTTTTGAAATAATCTAAAACTTCACAAAAAAATGTAAAAATTATATAAAATCTCTTATATACCCTTTACTCAGATTCACCAGTTAACATGTTTGAGTCTTTCTTTGCATGTACGTGAATGTCTGTTCTTCACAGTAGGGAATGGTTTTTAGAAATCAAGACGTGGGAAATAGATACGTTACTGAGGGGGTGGAGATGATAAATAGGTAGATAGGGCGGTGGGTAGGGAAATACATAGGTAGAATGAATCATGAGTTTATACTTGTACCACCAATTTTTTTTTTTTAAGATTTTATTTATTTGAGAGAGAGAGAATGAGAGAGAGCACATGAGAGGGGGGAGGGTCAGAGGGAGAAGCAGACTCCCTGCCGAGCAGGGAGCCCGATGTGGGACTCGATCCAGGGACTCCAGGATCATGACCTGAGCCGAAGGCAGTTGCTTAACCAACTGAGCCACCCAGGCGCCCTACCACCAATTTTTTAAAAGATTTTATTTAGAGAGAGAGCATGAATGGGGGGAGAGGCAGAAGGAGAAAGAGAATCTCAAGCAGACTCCATGCTGAGCATGGAGCCCAATGTGAGGCTAGATCTCACAACCCTGAAATCACGACCTGAGCTGAAATCAAGAGTCGGACACTTAGCTGACTGGAGCCACCCAGGCACCCCTCTACCACCAATTATTAATTTGACATCATAGTGTTCTTTCTAGCCTTCCCCCATTATAAATTGCATCTTTGTTCTCCAAGAATAAAAAATTTGGCTCCCAGCATCATCCACTTATTTACTGGAGAGTGTAAACATGCACCCAGCTACAACTTGGGGGTTCTATTCATGGAAAAAGAATGGGGTATTGGACAAGTGCCAGAGGTGATTTGAATGGCGTAGTCTTTCCACCATAACTTTTCCCATTCTCAGGGCATTGACTCTTTAAACCAAGTTAAATCTCACAGGACCATGAAGAAAAGTAACCAATAGAAAAATAAATCCAGAGATAGGCATATCCAAATGAGAACCCACCAGACAGTGATTCCTTGCTGATACTAGTGCTGCTAATGTGAAGGAATGGTACCTTGTGAAGGGCAGGTTGGGGAGCAGTTCTGGCCATTGACCAGCCCTGCATAACACACCATCTGCTATTCACCTCCCATTTCCCCCTATACTTCTCAGAGTGAGTCTGACAATTCTCAGGACATCAAGGACTGCATCCCTCCATTGCTTCTTGAGAGAAGTAAAGTATTTTAGGAGAAACTGGAGTTAGACCAAACAAGAATATTATTTACAAAGTGGTATATTGTAAATTAAAAAGCAGACTCTGGAACTAGACTTGTTCAGTTCAGCCATTTGCCAGTTGAGTAACTGCAAACAAGATGCTTAATCTCTCTGTTCCTCAGTTTGCTTGTGTGTTCAGTGTGGATGATAATATCACTTCTGTTGTGAGGGTTGAAACTTTATGCCTGGCATATAGTAAGAGCTGTACAGTATTAGATATTATCTTCAATAGATAAAATTATTACTATATAGTTATGAAATTCTAAGCCAGGGAACGGTAAACTATAGGTTGTTGGCCAAATCCAGCCTCTATCCTATTTTTGTATGGCCTGAAAGCAGGAATTTCACCTGTAAAGAATTTTAAGGAGGAAAAAAAGTAAGGAGGAAGCAAAGAATATGGACTGCAAAGCCTAAAACATTTATTGTCTGGCCCTTTTAAAAAAAAAAAAGACATTTATTTTAGAGAGAGTACACACACGGTGGGGAGAGGAGGGGCAGAGGGAAAGGGAGAGACAGTCCCAAGCGGACTCTACTGAGTGCAGAAGCCCACGCTGGGCTTGATCTCAAGGCCCTGAGATCAGGACCTGAGCCAAAACCAAGAGTCGGATGTTTAACTGACTGCGCCATTTAGGCGTCCCACAAAAAAAAAAAAAGTTTTTTTTTAAAATAAGGAAAGAAGGAAAAGAAGCAGAAAACAAACGCTAATATCACCCGAGAACGCACTGAACTGCAACAGTTTATACGTTTAAGGGGGGAAAAAGTGGCAACCTAGAGCAATCGGAACCTTGCTGAGGATTCTGGGAAATGTAGTCCGCCAGAGCCGGGCAGGCAGAGCCACTTGCGCTACCGCGCGGAGGCGCTATAAGCCCGTGTTCCGCTAGGGATCCTGGGAAGCGTGGTCCCGGAGCTGCTACCGGTCCAGGGGCTTGTGCTGCGGGAGGGCGAAGCCCCGGTCAGTGGTACCTTCTGGAACGTGAGTCAGGCTGAGCCTCTGCGTCTCTGCCCAGTTCGCCTGGGCGTGAGACCTGCAGGTGCCGCCCTCGCTCTCAGGGAATAGAAGCCTCGGAGGGCAGGGGCGGCGGGGGGGCGTCACCTTGGTTTTAGGGCGGGTCGCGCGTCCCTGACTTGGCGGGCGGGGGTCGCGACCTCGGTTTCCCTGGCCTTCCACACTTCTACACGTTCTGCCGCCTTCTAGCGACACGTTCGTAGACTTGCTTAATTTCTCCGTTTCTCCTTCGTAAAGTGGAATTAAGGGTAGTTCCTCCATAGGAGGCGTGTAGTGAGGTTTACGTGAAGCGTGAAGATGCTTGGAAGCTATCCTGGCAGGGGAACAGTGGCCGGTTGTTACCAATCGGCGTTTTCTTTCCGAGAAGCTCTCAGCCCCTGAAAACTTCTGTGAGCCCGGGATGGGTTCAGAGCTGCAGCTGCAGCGTCGCTGGCGCTTCTCTGAGTCCCCGCGGGAAGCAGGGCTGTTTAGGATTCCTCCTGACTCCCCATGACCACACCCCTCTTTTTTAAAGGAAGGATTGGTCTCACCCCAGCTGGTGCCTGGGCTTGTCCACCGTGATTTATTCTGGACCAGGGGGAAAAAAAATTGTGATATCTCCCAGCCTCTTTTCCCTTCTCCGCCCCCGAGTTCCCAGAGGGTGCAGAGAGGAGGAGGGAGTGACCCCCTGCCTCCTGCTGGTAACAGTGTCCCACCGTGAGAGAATTTAACATGATGTGCCATTTCTTTCTTTTTTATATGATCTTATTTATTTGAGAGAGGGGAGAGGGAGAGCACGAAGGGGGGGGTGGTAGCAGGCAGGGGCAGAGGGAGAAGCAGGCTCCCCGCTGAGCAGGGAGCCGGATGTGGGGCTCCATTCCTGGACCCTGAGATCATGATCTGAGCGGAAGGCAGATGCTTAGAAGGCAGGTGCTTAACCGACTGATCCACCCACGCTCCCTGCTGTGCCATTTCTGCTCTCAAGTGGGGAACAGACTTCCTTCACTCCTAAGCAGATATTTTTCTACTGGGCACATGTTCAAATGTTTATAGAATAAATGGCAGTTAGATGAGACCTGTGTTGAAGAATGAGTAATAACAATTTGGTGACATGTTGAGTGCCACATAGCTTTATATGCATCAATTAACTTAATCTTCCTAACACACAAATCTTCTGTGATTATTTGTATTTTACAGATGACAGCGTTGATAGGTGAAGAACTTAAGTTACTTATTTTCCCAAAGTCCAAAAACAGGGAAGAGACAGAACTGGGAATTTGAGCACAGGCTGTCTGGGTTCTTGACCTTTATGCCATACACTTTTTCAGCCCTAAAATGGTAATTATGGGGCATCCCAGTTGGGTGGGGGCTGGCAGCCCAGGGGTGAAAGAATTCATCCAAGGCAGAACAGAGGAGATAGAAGTTTATCGAATACACTGCAAGAGAGGAGCAGGCAGGACAGCAAAAGAGAGACTGTTTGCCCCTGGGCAGTGGTGAGGGGCCACAGTTTTAGGGCTGAATGAGGAAGTGTGGAGATGTATGGAATTTTCCCTTTTCTGGTAATCTTAGGCACTGTGCCTGGTTGTAAGTAGCCCACTGGTTAGTTAGGGACTATGGCCATTTTGAGGTGGGTCACTTAATGAGTCTGTTTGCACTAGCTTGGTGGTCATTGTGGGTCCTTTTGCCTTGCTCAAGGTTTCATTGCTCAAGCCTGTTGCCAAAACACAGCCTCTACAGTAATCCCTATGTCTAAAGGAGGGAGGCCATTTGGTAATAATTTGGGACCTTAAAGGACCTGAAAGCTATGCTCATTTAATTACTTTCTTATTTTCTATGACACTCTGTTTTCTGATTATGGCGGTAGTTTGTGCTTATCATAGAGAAGTAGAGAAATAGATGAAGAAGGCCAAAAATGATCCATAATCCCAGGATATAGAGACAGCTGTAAACGTGTTAATGTATTTCTTTTTAGTTATTTCTATGTATATGCATTTTTCTATGCTTCTCGGGAGTTGTATCATACTTGTAGTATTTTTATATTTGGTAACTTGTGATTGTGAACATTTTCAAACACAGATACAGACAAAATACTATAATGAATTCTCACATCCATCAACCTTGGTCCACCTTCAACTGTTAGTCTAAGTTTTGTCCATCTTGCCATATAATCCTCCCTCCCTTTTTTTGCTTGAATATTTTAATGCAAAAAAAAAAAATCCAGACATTGAGGCAAGAGGATTTATACTAGATTATCATAAATATATGGACGTCGAGGGAGAGAGGACATAAACAATTCCAAAGTTTTTATGTGGTGATTAGGAAAATGGTGGTTAGTGGGAAAGCTAGGAGCCCTGTAAGACTTGCAGTTAAAGAGGGGCGCCTGGGTGGCTCAGTTGGTTAATCATCCAACTCTTGATTTCGGCTCAGGTCATGATCTCAGGGTCGGGAGATTAAGCCCTGTGTCAGGCTCTGAGCTCGGTGTGGAGTCGGCTTGGGATTCCCTCTCTCCCTCTCCCCCATCCCTCTCATGTGTGTTCTCTTTCTCTGTCTCTCAAATAAATAAATAAAATCTTAAAAAAAAGAGTTGCAATTAAAGAAAAGAACATGACAAATTTAAGAGTCTCATGCTCTACGGACTGAGCTAGCCGGGCAAGAACATGACAAATTTAGTTTGTGCCTTTGGAATTTAATTTGCTCTTGGTTTCCTGAAGACAAATTAAGGGACAAAACAGTAAAAATGATCCATATAGATATTTTTGTCCTTTATCTCACTCTGTGGCTATATACAGAAGCCACAGCTTTTTCGGAGTATTCAAAAATTGATAGACATTTACTGATAATACTTCCATGTCCTAAAACAAACTTTCTTAGAAACAGACCAGGACTAACGCATCATCTCTGGATTTATCACCACGTCATAATAATGAAGGTGGTGAAAAGAATAACTAGCATTTATTGGGAGCTTATTATGAGTCAGGCAGAGTTTCCAGTGCTTTTTATATATTAACTCATTTATTCCTCAAAAGAACCTTGTTATTATCCCCACGTTACAGATGAGATACAAGAAGATAAGTGGTCTCCAGAAGATCACTCAGCCAGTAACTACGGCACTGAACTAAAACCATCAGGTCTTTTTTTTTTTTTTTAAAGATTTTATTTATTTATTTGACAGAGAGAGACACAGTGAGA